ATCGGAGCTGTGGCGACGACACTGTTGTAGGACTGGTCTGAAACGGGGTAAGGAGCGCGGGAACGCGGGGATGACGCCCGTGGTTCACGTTGAATGGAGTGAGATCCGTGGAGGAATGAACCGCGTTATTGATCGCGAGCTCGACCATAGGCAGAAACGAACTCCAGGACGTGTACGGCGTGGCGAAGCTCCGCAACACGGCTTCGACGGCTCTGTTCGCTCGCTCGGTCTAGCCGTCCGTTTCCGGGTGTGACGCGGTGGACATCTTCGACCGCGTCCGGACAAGCTGGAAGATCTTCGACCAGAAAGCTAAAGTAAATCGGGGATCTCGATCGGAGACGATCGACGTCGGCAAGCCGTGATGGCGATACACGAGGTCGAGAAATATCCCCGCGGACTGTTGCGCGATGACTGAAGCAGCAACGGGAGCAAGATGGACCATTTTGCAGAGGCGATCAACGAAGACGAGGGTACCACTGCGACCTTGAGTGTCGCGGGGAAGATCGAAGACGAAATCCATGCTAACGGAGGACCATGGATTTATAGCTACTGAAGACGGCGAAGCGGGGTCTTCTTTGACGGTGAAGGCTTCACGCGTTGGCACGCCTCGCAGGAGCGGACCCACCTCCGCATCCAATTGTACATGTGCGGTCAATACTAATCCCGAGAGAGCGACGCGAAGGCTTTTTCGCGTCCGAGATGACCGCCGCTGGGTGAATCATGAAATTCATGAATTAATCGTCGTCCTCTTGGACGACGCTTTAAGTCAGCAGGTTGTCGTGTAAGCTAGATCGACCCACTTGAGCACGATTGCGTGGAGAGAGAGTACGTCGCGTCAATTCGAACGGGCTCTGCAGGAACGCGATCAATTCGGAGCATGTCGCGTCCGAAGCATACGCGGTCGAGATCGAGTCACGTAGTGAACTACGGAACTTGCAGCGACATCGTCAGCCGTACAATCGGCGCATTCGTCTTCGTCCTTATCACTAACCGCGTGGCGACCGAGAGGTGCGTAGTCTGGCCGACGCGAAAGCGCGTCGGCGAGGATGCTGGTCTTGCCTGGCTGGTAGTGAGCAACGAAGTTGTACTCGGAGAAAAGGAAGAGCCAGCCCGCCATGCGCTGGAACAAATGCGGGCTCTTCGTTGCGGTTTGCAACGACGCGTGGTCTGTGTAGACGGCGAAGGTCTGTTCTCACAAGAAATATATCCGGAACTTGATCAGTGCGTAGCGCATGGTCAAGTGCTCTTTGTCGTGCAGGGTGATAATTGCGCTCCGCCGGTTTTAACTGGCGTGACTGGTAGCACAACACACGCTCGCTCACCTCTTCATCGAATTGCATGAATGCGCAGCCGATTGCGAAGTCGCTAGCGTCGCACACGACGTGGAATCGCTTGGAATGATCATCAGGACGGGCGCGGTGGATAAGCTCGTCTTCACTGCGTCAAAGGCTGCCTGGTGCTCTGGACGCCACACCGTCAGCCATGAGGAGATGTGACATTGGGCGAAATGCTGCAAAGTTCTTCGAGTAGTGATGGAGGTACGTCGCGAGTCCGAGCTAGTGCCGAAGCTGTTTAGGATCATGAGGGGACGGCCAAGCACGGATGGCTGTCACGTTTTCGGGATCAGACCAGACACCGTCCTTGCTGACGTAGCTACCGAGGACTGGGATCTCGGGAGCACAGAAGATGCATTTCTTCAAGTTGGCAAACAGCTTGTTTTCACGCATCACTTCGAGCATCGTACGGAGGTGTAGCAGATGGACCTCGGTATCCGTCATTGCGTCTTCGCCATGACTGTGAATGAAGATGTCATCAAAGTAGCTAGGCGTGAAGTCGCGATACGGGCGTAGCAACTTGGATACCATGCGGTTGAAGGTGGCAGGGGCGTTCTTGATCCCCTGAGGCATGACGACCCCCTCTATGGAACATTCCACTTGGCGTGTATGACAGCGGTCATCGTATGTATGCTCTCGCGCATTAAGATATCAAAGAAGCCGTCCATCAG